GGCCCTGGGGTTAGCCGTCGTGTTCCATCTCGCATGCCATGTGCGGAAATCAAGCCAACCGGCCGGAGAGTGCTTACGCTTCTTTTGCTGGCTGGCGGCGAGGAATGGCGATTGTGCGTCAATGGGTCCTGTCTGATTTGTCCACTCAAAGTCCATGGGCGTAGTCGAAGGACGGTGGCTTCGCGACATGATGTCTGCCGGCGACTGGGCCGTAGCAAAGGCCAGACAAGAAAAGGTTCGGGGTTGGGTTGTGTCGGAGCAGCGGACGTTTGGCTGTTGTTGATCAACACCTGGGTTCCTGGGTGGCCACCTGCGGACTTCCGGCGCTAGTCTCTGTTAGGACAATGGCGGTTGCGCTGGTGCAGCATGGGGAACATGCCACGAGCACTCTACGTTGGCACCACAAACTGATTGTGGCTATGTCTGCACTGAAATCATGTGACTAGGTATCTCGCTCTGCCAATGTACAAGTCATGTGTCCATTTCATTTCAAATCTACAGTGGCTTTTGCTTCTCAGCCATACCCGTACCCCGCTCTCTATCTCTCTCTCTCTGGAGTAGTAGGTAGGTGTAGTCTATTCCAAACCTCAAATAGCAAACATGATTACCTGAATATCCCACAAACAACCTGGATGTAATCCATCCTAAAGAATATTCATACAAACTACTTTGAGCTGAAAATGTGCTCTGGAAGAAGAAAGAAGAAAAAAATGCCTCCTAATTTTTTCATGTCTCACACCAGCCATGGCCAGTCCCAGGCTTCCTCTATGCTGGAGTGAGACCGACCTTGACGCCATTCAGCGAGCATAGCGTCAGTGTCAGACCCTCTTGCCATGGGCCAGGGTCTCTGCTCTCAATGGCTTTGAATTCTTGTACAAGGCGGACAGTGACGTAGCTAGCTTCAATAAGCGCATACTGCTGGCCGAGACAGATACGTGGGCCACCGTTGAACGGGAGGTACTCCCACCCAGGACGCAGTGTCTCCCAGCGCTCCGGCTTGAACTCGTCAGCATCCGGTCCATAGATATCCTGACGGCGGTGCATTGTGTATGGTGAGTAGCCGACTGTTGTGCCCTTGGGAACGAAGAGTGGTGACCGGCCGTCGGGACCACCGCCTAGAGGCAGCACAGTGTCGCGGGTGGCGTAGCGTGAGTTTCCAGGTACAACGGGGTGGATGCGAAGTGCTATATGATGCGTTTAGTATGGGCACACACTATTACTTGATCAGTCAAAACTTACATTCGTTCAGACACCACTTGACGTATTTGAGATTCTTCAGTTCTGAGTATGTCGGTGTGCGTCCTTCAAGTGTGGCAACCTCCTCCCTAAGCTTTGCGAAGATTTCCGGGTTCTTGGAGATAGCGAAGAACATGTTGCTCAGCAAACTCGCAGTCGTGTCTCGGCCAGCAAGCAGGATGTTGATAAGCTCTTCGCGTATCCTCTTCTTGTCCGTCGTCTGCTTGGCCACTTCCTGGATGAAGTAATACTTGTCGCCGCCAGCCGCCTTTTCAGCATCCAAGTTCTGTCGGAACTGCAGAGCATCGTCGACGAATTTCTCAATGTACGTGTGGCAGATTTCAATGGCCCTCTTGCCTTCAGCATTTCTCCTGAAGCGATCAAGGGGTCCGTAGCGAGCACGGACGGTAACATCTTCTTGCGCAAAGTTGAATGCCTTGCCAAAGATGGCGTCTTCATTGTCGGCGTCTTCCTGGCCAAGCATGCGAAGTGAGTCGGTCGAGTGGTTGAACAAGAATTCGGTTGCGGTGTCAAGCGTCAGGTGGAAGAAGAGGTCTTGCAAGTCCACTGTCGAACCATCCCTGGGAATATGCTTAAGCATGAGGTTGAAGTGGCGTTCGAAAGCATCAATGTCGGCAACCTGATCGCGTGCAAAGTTGGGGCGCAGGAGATGACGGCTGTTGGCCCAGCGGTCGCCATCTGCGTTGAAAATACCATGGCCCAAAAGAGGACCAAAAGCAGGCTGTCGGTGGGCAAAGCTGTAGTCCTTGAATTTCAAACTCAAGACGGCCTTGATGTTTTCAGGCTCGCAGGTCATGATGTAAGGCTGGTTGACGATTCGGCTGTGGTAAGTGTTGCCGAGCCTCTCATAGCGCTTCTTGGTTTCTTGCAAGGTGATGTGGGTTTTGCTATATTTGGCCATGGCCTTCATGACATCGAGTCCCAGAATAGGGTCCTTGTGAAATTGGGCCTTGCATGGCTGACAGCCGTGATCCTTCTTGAAACGGCGGCGTGCGAGGTAGAGTGCGATGCGGGTATACAGAAAGTAGGAGATGGCAGCACCCGCAAGAATGACGATGAGGGGTGATTGCGCCATTGTGTCTGGAAGATTGGGACTTTGGTGAGCGAGCGGATGGGTGTGTGGAGGGGAAGTCAATGGGTCGTGGAGATCAGCTGGCCTTTTAATCAATGGCACAGAGATGCGACTCGATGGTGGGGTAGTAGGAGTTCACTTCAATGTCGGCTTCTCCGATCAAGGTGTTTTTCCAGATGTTGACAGGAATGGACAAGATGGGTTTCCTCTGTGGTAAGAAAAGTGTGGTCGTGCGAGTTTCTCGGCCGAGGCGTAGTGTAGTCGAATCGGTTATCGCTGTGGAATACCAGGCTTCTCCACAGCCAGCAAGGCTCGCAAGGCTCACTCTTTTTGGAACCTGGATGGACGTGCAGCAGGGAGAGAGAGCGCCAAGAGGGGGGCAGAAGTGCTTCTTATAGACTCGGAAGCGGTCAGTCAGCGTTACATTTTGGACGATGGCGGCGACGGCGACGGGACCGTTAGCCATTCTAGCAGTGAGCTCCGAGACAGGAAACATGGGCATAGGCGGACTACGTAGGTGTACGCGGTGTACGCTCGGTGATGCCGATGTGGCTGCAATGCTCCGACGAGCGCTAGGGGCAAAGCTGGCGCCTGATTGGCCACTCCACCACCCGACATAGTGGGAGCGTCGCATTTGGGGCAACCACCGTACCGCTGCTTGTATCCACACACCTTCGGAAAATGCGGCACTTTTTAAGCATCCGCTCCGAAATTCTTGTTTTGTGGAGCATCCGTGTAGGATCGGTGTAGTGTAAACATGCTTGTGTATTTGTCTACTTTGTACTGTGTGTGCGTTCAGATGTATACCCATGTACTACGTCAACTTGACGCCAAACACAAGGCCATAAAAACCAAACATCTCCAGGGTCAACAAATTCAGCATCCAATCAATCCGCATGCGCTGTCGTCATGCATGTCCCAATGTTGATTGATGCCTTGGACCTCCATAAAAAAGTTATGTCGACCGGGGACCCCATCCACGTCGTCAGCTTATGCGGGTCCTGTGTGTAAGTCCTGTACTACACACTCACTCTGGCATCCTTCATCTTCTTCACGTGCTCCCCGCACTTTGGAAAAAATCGTTACATACCGAGGGATCCCGTGCCTCGCCTCAGCCTGACGAGATCCACTTCATGTGATTGATCGTCTCCCTTTCCAGGTACTCGTACACCTGCCCATAGTCTTTGCACACGTGTTTGGCGTCCCATCCGTCACTCCCTCCTAGGTCCTGCCCATGCTCGTCACCTGGAAAGCTCGTCGCCGCTCCCTCGAGCGCTACATCTCCCGCACACATGATTGCCTGTCTAATATACTCAAAACAGTGGTTGATGTGCCATGGCTTCTTGATCGGGTCTGCCGATGCCGGTGAGGCAACCGTAAGCTTCATGGTGTTATACGCTTCAAGTATCGTGTACAGGCAGTGTAACTGATGCGTAACCGACGTAGTGAACACCGTCTGATTGGGGTAATCATGGATTGGATGCGGTAGGTTGGAGTATTCCGACGCATTCTTTACTTCGACATAGCCAAGGCCCTCTTTGACTCGGTCAGCAATGTTCGTATCTGAAAACGAATGGCTTCACCACGTACCTGGAACGATGCTCAGCCAGGCATGCTGCGTCTCCTTGCTCCAAAAATCCGTCGGCTCCTCGGGAGCAAACACAGCATTGGGTTTGAAACTAACAATCTGCTGGCCAAATTTTGGCGCAAACCCAGTAATATCACCGGCAAGCTCGTAGAGATGGCTCTTCTCGTATTTCTGCCACCTCTTCTCGGCTAGGAGTCCTATAATCACCAATAAAAGTGTAGTGTCGACCATCCACCGGTACCTCCTCGCCCATCTCCACACCGTTATCCTTCTCCGCCGAGGCTGAGCGGCATTTTCTGTGTCCCATTCATCACCGACCTCCGTGCTCGAATCGGAGCCATCAACGACATTGTGCAGCGCGTCATATGGCTGATGACGCTTCGAAGTATCATGTGTCGCAAACTTCATGGTGGATGCGCCGTGGCTTGGTTTGTAAGGTGCAATTACTGACATTGTGAATAGCTAGTTTTTTTGTGGACATGTACCATCTTAGTATATAAAAGCGAAGCGGCGCTTGTGCGGCATCATCTTCATCGCTGCAAATGATCAAACGCGTTTTGCGACACTAATCGTTCGATGCTACACATTGAGCCTCGGGCGTCTTGGTGTCCGGTGATACTTTTCTTGGTATTATTATTAGCCGCAATCAAGCATCTTAACAGAAGCATAGTGTGTGCGGCGTGTATGCAAGAGCGCTCCAGTACTTGCAATATCAGCTCGTGAAATAGCGCGAGGGTGGTAAGTAGTGGTCACGTACAGGGATAGCTCAACGCAACGCAACGCACTGCAAGTATCGTGTTCCCGATTGGACAGACCACATATTTTCACAATCTCAGTACATCGCTTAGCATGGAAAGGAAACATAGGTAATGGTCTTGCCATTGTAGTCTGACTAACGGTAGGCGGACAAGGACACTGTCCAAAGTAGGAAATAGGTAGAAGCACAAGAAGCAAATAACACCGTCATCGGCCTTGGCTGATGCTGACGCGCCCATTCGTCCCTGGTTACACGACCTCAAACCCGGCTGATACCAAATCACAAGACCGGATCTATCCTGCGCAGCATCATCATATCGATTTCACTTACTCAACAATTCGCAAGTGTCGCTGATCGGTACCATAGTTTGGTGAGCGGAGAATGGAGGCCGGTTTGCCGTTCTTCAATGCCTGTGCAGCGTGCTCTTTGACTGCGAGCAGCGACTCTTTGGCGCTATCATTGTTCGTGACGAGATCCAAAGCCTCGATTGACGACTCCTTGGGCTGAGAATACGCACTTTCTACCGATGCAGCCTGACTGCGGATGTGCTTCCGCTTCTTAGCTATCTCATAAGAATCTTGTCGCTCAAACGGCTTAGGTGAGACATATCCTGAATGGATAAGGCGGGCATGGGCTATAGTAACAGAGTCGCGATGATCATGGAAGCGCGTATCTGTTTCTTCGAGGCTTGAGAGATGGCGAGCCTTTGTGGAGTGCCTGTTCCATCTCCCCTTGCGCTGAATTTCACGGTTCCGTACTAGTAATGATTGCTCTGAAGGTTGTAACAAATACTGACCAACATACGGGAGTGTTTCGTCCATGACATCTCCTCTTGAAACATCTCCGCCGGAAACAACCCCATTCAGGGGCACACTTGCAGGACGAGACGGATGGCAAGAAGAAGTGGTACTGGTAACCTGGCTGTTCGGAGGCGCTAATAGCGGTAGATCTTCTCTGTCCTCCGCAGCGCAGTCGAAACCCGTGGTTCGGCCATCATCGTCCGGAAAGACTACAATCGTGGGCTTGAAGCTGTCTGATGCGCTATTCCAACTTCCAAACCAACCTGTGAGCTTGGAGTTGACGCGCTCAAGACCCCGCCTGGCAGATGGACTGACCATTTCCAAAGAGTGGCTTGCAGAAGAGCTTCGCCGCCCTCTCCCTCTCACTTTCTGCTCCAGCGGTACATCATCCCATATCACTTCGTAACTACTGTTCTTTGTCTCTATGACTTGCATCGTCGGTGTGGCTGTATCAGGTTCTTCCTCGTTGGTTATGTCGTGTGCGTCCCATGAGGGTGTGATGGCGACAACGTGCACATCTGTTCGTGTGATCGCCGGGTCTGCCACACTGCTCTTTATTATGCGAATTGTGTTCGGGCACAATAAAGAATTACTGGCAGCTCTTCTTCGCTTTCCAGTCGGTCTGGACAGCGTTTTGACGTCGTGCTTTGAAGCCTGGTGCAGGCTCTTTGGCATGATAACTGTGCTCGAGACTTGGGGACAGGGCTTAGAGCCACTCCCTCCAAAATCGACAGTCTTGATGCGACAAAGGGTCTTGGAGTCATGATCTTCTGTGTTCCATCGTGATCCATCAAGCGACGTGAAAGTGTCGCTCTTCGCTCTCTTCTTGATACAAGACTTCAAGGGCAAGTGCCGATCGCGTGACCTTGGGTTCATGTACGCCTTGGCTAGGCTTGAATCCGATTTGGAGCTTACTGCGGTTGATCTAGTTAGGATCGGTCTCATTCTCGTCAATATTCCATCTGTCGCCGGTTCACGGCAAGGCTGGCTCGGCCTCAGAGGATGTTTGGGAACAGGTTCTGTCCGTTCAAAGAGAAGTCTTTGAGGGCTCGTAGACAGCTTTGTAACCTCTTCCGTAACCGTCCGAAGTTCGTTACGTGAGCTGCTAAAAGGCCGCCGTATGGCAATGGGAGATGACTGCAGTGAAGCAGGCGATAGAGATAAGGCTACATGTTCTGGGTGGTACATGTCATCTTTTGATCTGAATGCGTTCATTGCTATTACTTCCGTATTTCGTTCTCTTCGTATACCGCTTGAGATGGTCAGATCGCTGGTAGCCCTCTTCCGTGAACCCCTAGGGATGGTTTCTAGGCTTGGGTTGCTAGCATCTTCCTTCGTATGGCCGTCGTCTTTCTCGATGTCGCCGGTGAGTGGACGGAAGAATCCTGAAGAGGATTCTCCATATTCACTGGAGTTTCTCGATTGTATTTCCGAAGGAGTGGGCTGATCAGGTACAAGGTATGAGATAAGTGTGGTGATTAGGTTATCGCTAGAAGTTCGAAGCATGACTTCTATGAGCGCTGGAACAGCTGCAAAGGCAAGCCCCTATGGCTAAGAATAGAGAGTCGCTTGTCCACTGTTGAAAATACTCGCGCAAATAGAACTTAGGAATTTCCGTGATGTCAATGAGGATTTAGGGAGGGGGTGAAGTCGAAGTGACATGTATGCCTGTTCACATTGCTGCACAACAAGAGACGGCCATGACGAGGGAAAGTGTACGCTGAGAAACGGAAAGAGTGCACCATGGTCTCACCATGTCTATTTCCTCTGGGGTTCAACTGTTCAGTTTACGGAAGCCGCGCCTTGAGCAATATACCAACGTTACGGGTAGTGAGTTAGCGACTTCACACGAAGCTGGCCAGCATTGCAGTACGCGAAGGTAGCTGTAAATAGCAGACATTTTCATTGGCGTAATGCAGATATGGGCAGTAACAATGTGTGGTATGTATGTAAGTACCGTACGTGTGCGTACACAGATGTATCCGCGTGCGCCACCACCCAATGGGGGAGGCCGTGTTCCTCGGCAAACTCTCCGTCAGCCATTCACAGCCCCTCTGCGGACAACGTGTGCTTCCATCCCCCACGTCTGCACGTCACTTTCAACGCAGCCACAAGGGGCTTCCCTTGCTAGGGTGCATGCCTGAATGTTCCTCAATTGCATTCCAGCAAAAGCATTCGTCCCCGCATCCCGCAATCTTAACGCTATGCGCCCGCCCCCATGGCTAACCTGAGCCGCTATGTAGCCATTCCGGCAGGAGAACTATTGCCTCGCAATCCACGGCCAAACAAACAGCGCACGTGTGGTGAGGATGGGGAATATGTAGCTAGGGTGTGATCCTTTACCCGACTGGCCGTTCATGTTCATCCCGCGCTCCATCTCATCTTGCAGCTATTAATATAGCCATATGATAGCCCCTCGAGCTCCCCTGTTCAGGCACGCGACAGTAGGCTAGCCATCGAAATGCTTTTCACCACTTCCCTCAGTCTCCTGGCCTTCCCAGTAGGCCGGGCTATCGCCGGCTCAGTCATTCCTCACGACCAAAGTTCCACAAGCCAAACTGCTTCCAACATCACTACGTGCAATGGCAAGCTTTACACGTATGAAAAGCTCGCAGGCTTTGGATCAATAAAGAGTGATGCTCGAGACAAATTTGGCGACACAATCGGTGGCATTGGAAGCGCCATAGCTTTCGAGAAGAAGTCATGGAAATACAAGAATGGGATCTATGAGGGCGTGGTTTGGGGCTTGCCTGATCGTGGCTGGAATACCCAAGGAACACAGAACACTCAGACTCGGCTCCACAAGTTCAGCGTCAAGTTTACACCAGTCGAAGCTACAGTGGCAAAGCCAGCAAGCTCAAACCTACAGATCTCCTATTTGGACACTCTGCTTCTTGCTGGTCCTGACGGTACACCACTGACTGGTCTCGACCCTACCGATACCATCACATATCCAGGATTCCCTGCTCTTCCCTTGGCAAAATGTAAGTTGTGAACACGAGTTCTTGGGAGTGTTTACTGACGAACGCAGATACCGGTAACGGCTTTGGTCAAGCTGGTCCTGGCGGTGCCCGCATCTCTCTCGATACCGAAGGTTTAGTACTTGGGGACGACGGAACATTCTGGATCAGTGATGAGTATGCTGCCTATCTATATCAATTCGACATTCAAGGCAAGATGATCAAGGCGGTTCGTCCTCCAGCTGCTCTTGTTCCCCAGCGCAACGGCACCGACAGCTTCAGCGCTGACTCCCCACCTATCTACGACCCTGACCTCCAGATTGTACCTGGGGACCCTACAAGCGGTCGAGGCAACAATCAAGGTTTGGAGGCACTCACTGCCAGCCCAGACGGCAAGTATCTGTACACGATGCTCCAAAGTGCTACCATTCAAGACGGTGGCAGCGCTGCAAAGAAGCGTCGCAACACACGTCTCCTCAAGTACCGCATCAAGGACAAAAAGACAACTTTGGAAGCTGAATACATCGTTCAGCTACCACTCGTCTCTACAGGACGTGTTGCTAGTCAGTCAGAAATGCACTACATTTCGGAAACACAATTCCTTGTTCTCGCACGCGACTCGAACGCTGGCCAAGGTGCTGAGAGTACAGAATCTCTCTATCGAAATGCCGATGTGATTGATATATCAAATGCTACCAACGTTTTGGGGACAGCTGCCGATGCACTCGGTGGACAAGTTGCCAGCAAGGATGGTGAGCTGAAGAGCAATATTGTACCTGTTACTTACTGCCCATGGCTTTCCTACAACAACAATGACGAGCTGAGGAAGTTTGGTCTGCACAACGGTGGCGAGCAAGATTCAAAGTTGCTCAACGAAAAGTGGGAGAGCTTCGCCTTGTTACCAGTCGACAAGAAAGACGAGATTGGCAGGAGTGATAGGACGAGCGAGGATGAAGGAAAGCAGTACTACCTCGTGTCTTTTGGAGATAACGACTTTATCACACAGAATGGTAAGTCTGGCTGCTGGGATTTGGTGACATTCAACTAACACTGTACAGGTTATATCAATTTTGGGCAGAATCAGTACGCGGATGCAAGTGGGTATAGCATTGACACTCAGGCTCTTGTTTTTAAAGTCAAGCTGCCCAAGGGGGCAAATCCATTGTAGACGTGTGGTGGTATTAGGCACAGGGTTTGTGAGGAAGAAGTATGTAATATGTAGTATGCATGTAGTATGTATGTAAATATGTACTATACACATAGGAGGCTAGCGGAGGGCCAGCGCACAGACGGAATGTGATTGGCCCTGAAGCTGGACCCTGGACCTTATGTTGATGTGGCATCTCAACCAAGTTGTAGTTTCAAACTCCAATTCCTCCCACCAAGTTGAAAACATGGGGAGAAAGCACGTGTCGTCCCTTGCCCTGATACTTCCCCTCCTCGCCAGCACTGTAGATGCGGCATCAGACCCCGCCCGGCCGCGGGGTGTGGGTCCGGAGTGTATGTTGCACCTAAGGAAGCTCATAGACAGCTGCAATGGACGGAGCTCTGCATGCTGACGGCCAATGTCTAGTTGCAAAGTACTACAAGGACACCGAGACATTTACTTGTATCTCGAATCCTGCCATAAAGCTCCCCATTGCCCGTCTGAACGACGACTACTGCGACTGCCCCGATGGCTCTGATGAACCTGGCACCGCGGCCTGCTCCTATCTCTCACCCCTCTCCCCACCTCAGCCGCTGAGCGTCGAGGGCAAAGATGTCAACACGACGCCTGCCCTTCCAGGCTTCTACTGCAAGAATAAGGGCCACCAGCCCAGCTACATTCCTTTTACGAGCGTCAACGACGGTGCCTGCGATTATGAGTTTTGCTGCGACGGGAGCGATGAGTACGAACACGTCGGTGGCATCAAGTGCGAAGACCGCTGTGCGGCCATTGGCAAGGAATGGAGGAAGGCGGACGAGGCGAGACAGATGAGCCTCGCTGCTGCCAAACAGCGGCGGAAGGAGCTGGTGGCCGAGGCGGGACGCCTGCGCAAGGAGGTCGAGGACCGCATCCAGACTCTCAAGGCTCAAATTGAAGGTGCAACGCTAAAGGTTGATGGGCTGACGAAGAGTCTGGCTGAGATTGAGAGAGCAGAGCGTGGCAAGGTGGTCAAGGGCGCTGGCAAGGCCGGCAAGGTCACTGTACTGGCGGGTCTGGCAAAGCAGCGCATCCAGGAGCTTACTGATAACATCAACCGCCTACGCAATGAGAGGGACTCTGCACGAGCAAGGGTTGCCGATCTTGAGGGTATGCTGACCCGCTTCAAGGAGGAGTACAATCCCAACTTCAACGATGAGGGTGTGAAGCGTGCAGTCCAGGCGTGGGAGAACTATGCTGCACAAGATCGCCCAGGACCCAACGATGCTCTAGACCGAGACCTAGATGACATTCTCAAGCCAGACTCTGAGAATGCTATCAATTGGGACGACTTTGAGAAAGTAGACGAGTCTGACATGGAGCTCCGTGAGTACTATTCAAACCATAATACTCAAGTTCATAGGCTAACAAGTATCCAGTTTACCAATTCGAAGAATATCTACCCGAATCCATCCGTAGCTGGGTCGACAGCAAGCTCCGCGACCTGCGCATCATGCTCATCGAGAATGGAATCCTTGCCGACCCCACATCTGCCGATGCTCCTGAATCCAAAGCGGTCAGCGATGCAAAGTCGCAGCTTGAATCAGCAAAGAGGGAGCTTGAGAATGACAAGTCTGAATTAACCAGACACGAAGAAGATCTTACCAAGGATTATGGCCCAGACGCCATCTTCCGCGCATTGAAAGACGTCTGTATATCTACCGACTCTGGTGAATACACATACGAACACTGCTTCCTCTCCAGGACGACGCAGAAACCCAAGAAAGGCGGTGGCCACACAGGCATGGGCAATTTTGTTCGTATCGAGTCCATGACTGTTGATGAGGAGCTACCTGCGGATGGCAAAGGGTTGGGCAGTGGCGAGCGCATCGCTCTCAAGTACGAAAATGGCCAGCATTGCTGGAACGGCCCCAACAGGAGCACACTTGTCATCTTGGCTTGCGCGGAGAAGGATGAGATCTGGAAGATTGTTGAAGAGGAGAAATGTGTGTACAGGATGGAAGTGGGTACGCCGGCGGTGTGTGGTGTTGAGGTCAAGAAGGTTGTTCCAGAACACAACGAGTTGTGAGAGGAGGAAGTGAAACTAGGATGATGGCGTATTCTGGGTGTATTGCGGTTGACTCGCGTTGCTCGGATGGTAGAAGATTAGATATCAAGACATGACTACAATGTTAAAAGCAATTTTTACTCAATTTGTGGTCTCTGCAGCTCTGCAGTCTGTGAGTGTGATTGCTTTACATTTAAGGGTTGATGCACTCTGACTTATTGAGAGATTTTGTGGAGTCTTTCGAACCTGTGAGCATTGTACTCTTCCAAATGAATATCGGTCTCTCGGTCGATTGACGACAACCAGAATTCCCAGACCAAGCGGGCTAGCCTATGAAAACGGGCTACCTTTCTTTCGAAATGCCAGCACTACTAAAACAGTAGTTTCCGAGTGTCAAAACTTTGCGGATGCCTCAGGAAGAATAATCAGGAAAGACGTTATATAGGGATTGATAACACCTTGTACATTGCGATTGTACTGTACGCGCCTAACTTCTCCGTTGCTCATTTACTAGAGATTGGAAACAACATTGCCTACCACAATTACTACGATATGGCTTCAACCACCTCTGATAATAAATAGATCATTGAGGAGTATCTACATCACCTTGATGGCCGATTAAATCCACAAATTTAAAGATTTCTGGAATCCGAACGGTAACTGGTGGATCAGTAGTGACTCTTTAGTAAATCTATTCACTGGCGACCGCGTAGCCTATGAACGAATCGAACAACTCTCTCGTGTAGTAGACAGCTTGATCAGTGGGGGTTTCGGCACAAAGATTTTAGTTAGTAAAAGGGATCGTGTGGTAATTGATGGCTACTTCAAGGGCGATGGGCCAGGGACGCGGAAGTATCGAAATGACATGGCTTTGTTTTTTTTTAGACTAGAGGAAGGGAAGATTTTTGAGAAGCGGGAGTACTGTGATTATGATAAGACAAAGGAATCGGGGGCATTAAGCTGAATGGTAACACGGTCATTGTCTAGTCAATTACTTAAGAAAATGAGATAGAAAAGGATGCGTTAGATCATCTTTATGAGAACCTGGAGTATGTAACCAGAGCTACATGACCGGATCGCTAGGAGCCATTTTATGCAACCTGTAAAACCGGAAAACCTAAACAACTAGATATAGCCCATCGAAGCGTATTATCAACAACATGAAATTAGCACCGATATATAAGAGCCGGCGTAGCATGCTCCACTGCACCAGGTGTTATCGATAAGCATTTTTGTCCCTCCATTCCGCAACCCCCCACCAACTTTTTTTCCGCAGTCACTACACAGTGAGTAGTACATTCTAGGACGCCACGCGTGTTAAACTATTTGCCCTATTATTTTCTTGCACCCAGTCGCTTCGATTTATTTATTATCAACTCTAAGAGAAAAGAAAGAAAAAAAAGAACAAACAAACCGCGCATCATGTCGAAAGCGAAGGATCTCTCTACACTCGTTGAAGTCACCAAGAACACCCAAACGCTTCTTACACACTACCAATCGTCGCTTACCCCCAGCAAAACCAACACCGTCACTGCCATCGCATCCGCATCCGCGCCCGATCCGTCGACAGAAATACCGAATCCGCTCGAACTACTTCGCACCAGCAGCACGCTGCTCAAATCGCACACGACGACCCTCTCACTGCTGCTCATCAACCCGCCTCTGACGGCGTCTGCCCTAGTCACCAAGATTGGCAATGTGAGTGAAGGGCCGCTGACCGGGGTCGTGGCCGCGGCGAGTTATGTGCCTGGAGTGGGACAACGGGGCGACGTGGGCGAAATCATGCGTGCGGAGATGCGGGCGCAGGTCAAAGGCTTACTGGCGAGTTGGAGTGAGGTATTGAGTATTGTGCTTAGCATTGCGCAGAAGCAAGGGACGAAGCAAGGAGGAAGCGTGACGGAAGCCGAGAAACAACAAGTGCTTTCTGCCACAGGCATGGTGTGGGATGCGTGTGATGGAGTGGAGAAACTGTGCAAAGACGGCGTGGTGGGGCTCGTGGTCAAGAAGGCACAGGAGTTGCGGGCTGTGCTGCTCGACGCAATCGAGGAGTTAAAGGAGTGGGGGGAAGATGTTGCGGACGACGATGATGATAACGACGACGATGAGGCAGAGCACAGCGACCAAGATGATGTTTTCGCAACGGAAAATAAACTAGGCAAAGACGACAAGGAGCTCAAGGCTCTCCTGGATAAGAGCCTCAAGAAGCTCAAGATGATGGGCATATTATACCAGGCGCTTGTCAAGAGGAGACTAAAGACATATCCTGCATCGTCCATTCTCGAGCCCAGCAATACACCTGCGACGAACAACACCAAGAGGAAAGCATTAACAGAAAAAGGGGAAGTACAAGAAGAGCAAAGTGGAGAAGAACAAGCGACAAAAAGTCCCAGCCTCAAACTCAGCGAACTCATGGGCGTGCTGAAAAGTATTCCAGAAACAGTCGATGATATCGCTGCTGCTTTTTACGATCTCGACGCCGACGAGGCGCAGGAGATGCTGGATCGGTGCTGTGCAGAAGCCAAGACGGCAGTTGAGCTTGTGCGCACGAGTTGGAGTGGGCAGGACGATGAGTTTACGGCTTGGTCTGAGAAATGGGTTGCTGCTCTTGATGATGCTGCTGCTACTGCTGCATGAAAGCGGAGTTCCCTGTATATTAGACAAACAGGGCGTTTTCATGGCCATCACTACATAACGTCGAAGCACTTCATATCCCCACAAGCAATTGAATAGAAACCACATAAGAATCATTAAAGAGTCAAATCATAAAAATTAAGTGGTTGTCAGAAATTTCCTGTCTGAAAATATATTTGCTTTCGTATCAAGGGGGTTGAACAAGACTCCGTCCTCTCCATCTCCTGAATGGGCTAACCATGAAAGCGCAAAAAGAAGTGAAAGGTATATCCATCGATGTTTTGCGTGCCCAAAATACCGTCGAACCATGAAAGATATCCCCCCTTTTTGGCAAGATAAAAAGACACACAAGAGGGTTTACACACACACACACACACAACACCAAACGTGAGGGATAAACAGGTGCTTACAAGGCGAAAGCAGCAGCGGCGAGACCAAGGGCAACAGAGCCAATGGCAGCGTAGTTGCCAGAAGCAGCGCCGGTAGACTGGGCAGGGGAGCCCGAGGAGGTACCAGAGGCAGTGGGCTTGGAGGCAGAGGGGGTAGGGCTGGCAGGGCTGCCAGCAGGAGCACCGGACTGCTGCTGGGTGCCAGAAGGAGAGGCGGCAGGGCTGCCGGTGGCAGCGGGAGCGGCAGTGGGGATGTCGGTGAGAGTGATACCGGCGGAGGCGCAGAGCCCAGCGACGGCAGGGATGATCTCTGTAGTATGTTGTTAGTAACGTGGGGATTGACATTTTTTTTGTTGGAAGGAACGGTTTGATAAGGTGGTGGATAGGGAGAAACACTTACTCAGAGCCTCGGTTTCGTTGCACTTGGTGGGAACACAGGCCATGAGGGCCTCCTGGAGGGGTTGACGGCCAGTGGTGCACTGGCACTTGATGTCGGTGGTACCGCACTTAGAGGCGGGGAGAGAAGAGACGAAGCAAGGAATCTAGGGGATGAATTGTCAGTGACATGTGTCATGATAGGATTATAGCGTGCACTAGCTCGACGCGATTCCAATGGTGCCGCGAGAGGTGGAGCTGGAACAAGACAGGGAGGACAAAGCAGAGGAGGTACATACAGCGCACTGAGGAACATTCTCGAGGTTCTGGGCGCTGGCGAAAGCGAAGGTGGCCGCAACGGCAAGAACGGTAGATTGGAAACGCATGTTTGCTGTGTTTGGTGGGTGGTTGTTGATGTGGTGGTGGTGGTGGTGGTGGTGTTGTTATTAAAGATTGACTGTAATGTAGGAGATGGGTATTTTGCGCAAAACGTAGGATGGAATCGAAAGCCACTGAAGGAATCAAGGAAGGGCAGAGAGGGTCCTTTATCAAGATAAATAGTGGGCGGCAGACTAGACCGAGACGGGGAATAGAAGGGGGGCAGGTAAGGTTTAGGTAAAGGGCCGGCACCTCCACGATCGCATTCGACCAAGCAAGTCGTATCCACAGCAATAGTGGCTCGGTGGGATCAAATGCTAGTTAACCCGCAGGTGATCGACACCAGGGGCAATGGCTGTTTGACTTTAAGGCACAGCTGACCTTTTTTTCGGGGACGCGCCTAGATTTGCTCCAAGGTCCATGCATCGAGTTTACATATGAGACGTGACTTGCATACCACTGCAGTTTGCAGAGATGTTGTTGTATTCATGATGGCCTGGACGAGGTGTAGCTGTAAGCCTCGCCGAGGAAAGAAGGGTTCTTCAATTACACCGAATTACCTGTTGCGGACCCAGGAAGCATAAGCACTTGCCTGGGTGAACCTTGAGGGGGCAAAAAGCTCAGGGCACGATTAAGGTTTGGTTCGGCGAGCACAAGTGGTTAGCGACATCTTTGGGTGGAGCTGGACTCTCCGCTGACGATAGTGCGGTTGCTTGGTATTGATCGTTTTTATTTGCCCCAGCCTACAGACAATGTCGTTTTCCAATAGCCAAAAAGAAAACTTACTACATGAGTGGAGTGCAAGTGTATCAGCCGTGCGTCGGAAGCCTGCTGTTGTTGCTTGGCCCAGAGGGGTTGAATAAAAAGCAAGTCAAGACCGTTGGGAGGACGGGTGCGGGAAGAACCCTCGCTGCTTACTTTTTCCAGAATTGCTTTGTTTTTCTCTTCCTCGATACATACTTGGACGCACCAGACAAGTCCGCCGTGGGCGCATGTGCGTTTATGCGACATTGGATTGCTGACGTATATATGTTGGAGAGGGGTTTGGACACTTTGGGAAGACGTACATATGGCCCAACGGTGGTGGTGGTGGTGGCATGCGGAAACCATGGTGCATGGCCAATCAGCGCGACAGATGTGGCGCAAGGCATACGGCGGTGTTTCTCGAAAAATTGGCCGCACGGCCAGAGCTTACAGCAGAAGCTTACTGCTGCTGCGACTCAGTCATCAGTCGAACAGTCGGAGCTGTAGAGTGCTGTATACAGTTATGAAGAGTGGTTGCTGGTCGGGCTGTTTTGATGGTAGTCGTCGTAGTAGGTGTAAGTACTATGTAGGATGCAGGTACGCGATGGGCGCATGCAGGCGCGACTGGTTTCCTGACTAACCCCACATTAATGTGCCCCTCTCTCCCCCCTTCTGCTCCTCTTGATTGCTTTTGCCAGTTTTCCCTGGCCTTTTTCTTTTCATCCAACAGGTCCTGATGACTGTGCATGTACGCGTGCATTTCCCTGTCCCTCGTCGCAATGCCGCGTAACCATTCCGTGCAGGCGTTTGGCGGGCGGCATCCAGAAGCTTCGTCGTGGACATTATTGCCGGGCTTCCTCTCGGTAATGATGGCGCGCTTGCCAGTCCTTGGCACGGGCCAGGTGAGATGCAAGTAGCCAAGCAACGGCAGCTGAAACAAGGGCCCATGACTCGACCGTTGCGGGTAGATGGGGCGTTGAGACCATGGCACATATAGCCTGTCACTCGTCTCACATCATCTCATCTCGGTAGATTATATTCGTATTTGCTTTTGCTGTCGTCGAGCGGTGTGATAGCAGTCGTCAATAAGTGCATGACTGTGTCGGGCAATCAAGTTAGACACCTTCCACAGTGTGCATGCCGACTACCGCAGTCGGCTTCTTTCTCTGCCCATCCCCCTTCTCCAAAAGCACAACTGCATCGCTGCAAACTACACGAGAAAAACATGCCTAGTATTTAAAAAAGAAACAAATAAGACTCCCTTTTGCGGCCTGGATTTCAAAGTCACAGTCAGCGTTACGATGAGCCCCACATGTGGAGAAGCACCATGAACAGGTGGGTTGACGGTGCGACTATCATAATCTTCACATGGCCCAAACAATACAAACGTCTCGTCAAACACAATGAATAGCGCTTCTTTTGTATTGACCGCTATAGCCGTCGCAGCACCGGCACACGCAACCCGGCAGCACATGCTAAACCGAATTCCCACGAAGCCTACATAACATGACGACCTTCTTGGCGGCTGGCAATTCCTTTCGACTCAAAATGACCATTCGAGCAGCCTTCCCGTCTAAACTCAGACCAGGCGTGCTCGACACTTGCTTGATGCGATTGCGAACCTCTACTTGCACCGTGTCCAGCCCGGTGCCGGGTCGTACTCTAAGCCGAACCCTATCGTTCATCATGAAATGGATCTTTCAAACGAAAAACTTGAAGAATCGAGAGGTATATCGCTGAGACAGTGGGTAATGAAAAAAAGAAAAAAAGAGCAAAGGAAGTCGAAGGAAAAGAAAAGAAAATTCGAAAAAAAACTCCCCCAAACCTAAGGCCCCTGTCACAGACGTGCCAACCTGAATACATAACACACACAAGAGGGAACAAAATTTTATCTTACACACGGGGCAAATGTAAAATCGCTGCAGACAAATGGCAGTCGTAATAAAACGAAGAAGAGAAGGATGAGAAGAGAAGAACTCGAGTCGACCATGCAATTGCTGGTCTCTCACAGTTTAGAACATAGCGCCCTCAGCGGAACCTTGGCCTCGGGGTTGTGCGTTCATGGGACGCGGAGGTGAGTTGTTACGCCCCTGGAAACCACTCGATGGCACCGGAGGAGACGGCCCCATTTGGCCCTGTGCTACTCCACGCAGACTTCGGCCTTCGCTCGTTGCTTTCCTCAGCATATTCCTAGGCGGTGGATGCGCCTGCTCGTACAGACCATCAGCTGAACCGGTACGAACCGGCTCTGCAAAAGGCGCTCGTGGGGCCTCGATACCTGGCTGGACAGCGGGATCAGAAGCTGCTGAGCCCTGACCCTCACGACCAAATCCAAATCGTCGCCTCATGGGGTTGATGGGTGGAACAGGCGGCGCATCATATTCGCTGCCATTCTTGAGCGATGCACCAGGGGGGAGATCAATCGTGTCAATCACCGACGTCGTGGAAATGAAGACGGGGTCCGATATGTCTGCCTTGGCAACAGACTTCTTTCGCAACATTCCTTGTCTGTTTACAGGTTGCACAGTGCTTGGATTGAAGGCGGGAGCACTAGGCGTGGCCGGGTTAGGCGTTGTTGGGTTAGACACAGGAGGCGTGTGGCTGTTGGAAAACGGAGGCATTGGAGAGGTAGGGTGCGAGTAGCCCTGGCCACTGTGGTTGCTGTAAGCGCCAGGTGAAGGTCGAGGTGAGATCGGTAGTCCAGGCGACAATTTGCCGTGCGGAGGGGCAAATCGTGCATTCTGACCTGGTGTCAGATTGGTCTGGATGGGGTTAAGGTGCTTTGATTCAAAGTAATTAGAGGCAGAAACTTTGCTGTTGCTCCTTGAACGTGAGCGACCTTCAGAGTCCATTGAAGTCTTTGGTGCAGGCAGAGGAGGTGTAGGGTGTGCTACATATCCAGGTAGTGAAGGAAATGTGTTTGCAGGGTAGGCAGCTCGGGACCCTTCGGTCATGGCCTGGTCCAAGTCATCGCGGTAATGACCTCCACGGCTCCGGGAACGTCCTGATGAGGTGCCAGAGCTTGAGCGTTCTCTAGTCGAGCTCCTGGTCGAAGCTGCTTGTGTTCTACCTACAGGACGACCTGTCCGGCTGCTATCAGTTGCTGAGCGTTGTCTGTGCTCGAGCTCACGCTGAGCATCCTGCTCGCTCTGTTGCAGTACACGGGAAGGCTTGGTTCGCAGTGGCGGTACGTCAGAACTTTGCATGCTCACAAGCGAAGTGCTGCTGAGATTGACCGCAGAGGCACCAAGGGCAAGCTTCCTCACCGACTTGTTGGAAGCATCGACTGTGGCAAATGCTTCGCCGTTTGACTTTGCGCGAAGCATGTTCAGAGCATTCTTCAATCCTCCCGATGGTCCGGCACCAGGCCCAGGGCTCAGTGACCGGCCCTCAGCCTTTGCACGAAGACTCTCTTGGATCAGACGTTGTCTCTGGGCAAGATCTCGTTGGAACGCCTCGTGCTCAGCTTCCGTCTCGTTGCTAGAAATCCTTTCGTGATTCCTTCGAGGAGTGAGATCCCACGTGGATGAACCAGTGTGGTGCTCAGATGTGCTCATGATAAGAGGCCTGATCCTGGTTGATCCCTCAATAGGACTTGATGGTTTGGCAGCCCCGCGGTCTTCACGATAAGGGCCATCGATGTCATCGAGATCCCATGGGTTGGAATGGCTGTACGTTGATGGCACAGGCGTGACGGACTCGGACTCGGAATCCAGTTGTCTGCGTTGCAGTCCAAAGTCGTTCTTGCGGAAGGTTGAATCCATGGGTGGGCTCATGACAGGCGGACCTGGTTCACCATAAGTGGAGGAGACATTGCTGTTGGTGCGCAGGTGCTGACGAATCAGACCACTAAGTCCACCGTTTTGGGGGCCGAGGGTGGGAGAGTCATTATCTGGGACGTTTAGTGCGGGAGACTCGGCGCCTTGGTAGGGAGAACGAGCGATGGAATTTGATTCTTGAGTATCCTCATTTGATGGAGCACGTGAGCGGAGTGCAGGGTGCTCAAACATGGGCGGCGCAGGACCAGTTGCAACTGGGAGGTTTTCAAACCGACGGGCGGACCCCGCAGGACGAGTTGTCGCTGGCTTGGAAACCGGCTCTTCGTGTTGTTGCCCTTGCTCGTCATCGCTCGAGTCAGGCGAGGTAAAGAAGGTAGCTTTGGCACATGCGTCCTTGGGCTTCTGTGGGGGCTTCTGGGTTGGCTGTACGTTTGCAGCCGCTTGACCCGCAATCCTCATCTGGCTGGCAGCAGCCTGAAACCTGGAAAAAGCATTTGTAGCTGGGCTTTGCTCTGTAGGTGATTCGGGTCTGGACTTCTCTCTTGCGTCACTCTCCGCTCTCTTCCTTCTTTCCTGCTCAGCTCGCTCTCGCAACGAGGGTTTGCGAGAAATCGACTTTGCAGGACCTGATGCTGGTGACTCGCGTGCTTGTCTGTCTTGGTTCATCTGTCGCAAACGCTCGGCATACTGCTCTTCGCTGAAAGCCTCCTTTGGCTTGTTGAAGGCGCCCAGAGCAGTGGCCTTGCCTCGATCGTTTGGTTGAAGCGCAGCATTGAGTGAGTGAGCCTCGCTGCAATCGCTGGTCACTGGGCTTACCAGTGGTGGCGACTGTGGCCGCGAAAGAACAGGGCTTGATGTGCCAGACGAGTTGGTTCGAACCATGGCCGGGTGGCCAGTGGGACCGGGGCTTTCGGAGCGGAATCCAGGACCCCTGGCAAAGCGGTCGTGGAGATTTGTTGCAGAACGTGCTTGGCCTATGGGGAGAGGCTGGTTTGATCGCAGTGTGGGCGCGCGCGCTCGCTGTATCGAATTGAGGCGGTTCATGGCTGAGGACTGCTGGTCTTGGATTTGCTGATCCAGGCCTTGGTCATAAAGTCGTCGCTTGGTAGTTGACCGGTTCAGATCTGGAGAGCTTACAGGAGCCGAGGAAGGGGGCAAGGAGGGAGAGGAGGCGGAAACCGAGTTGGCGCCTTGTGAAGCTATTGAAGTTGCAGCGGTGGAGATGCGCGTGTTGGATGGGCCAGAGTTTGTCGAGGATGTAGTCTCCCTCTTCCGGCTGAGTTCTGTGGGGCTGGAGGGCTCCGAATGCTGACTCTCTTCCTCCTCTTCTGCCTGTTGCCGTATGCGCTCCTTTTCTTCTTGTCGTAGGCGTTGGTACGCTGACAGGTTGACATCGTCGTCGTACAGAGCGCGTCCAGTGCCCTTTGAGTTTGTGTTTGAAATGACGTAGATTTTCTGGCGTCCACCAAAGAGAACATTGCCCTCGCCAGGTCTCGCTCGGCTCATGACACTGCCGGAGCCATCTTCTTCTTTGGGACCGTCGAAGGAGTCGGTGCGGTCAGCAGCAGCCGGTCGATGGAGGGAACCTTTGAGCGAGGATACTTCAGCAATGTCTGAGAGGCCACCAGGAACGAAACCAAACTCATGGAGGCGGGACTGACGTTTAGGTTGGAGAACGCTATCGTCGCTTGCTTTGCCAATGAGGGATGAAGGGTCATCCTGCTCTCTCAGCATGCTGAAGCGAGTGGATAGACCGGGCAGGATTAGACTGGTGCGGAAGTCGTCTGCTTTTGGGAGCACGGCATTGAGATCGAACTCTGGCTTGACCTCTTCCTCTTGACCCTTTTTGCCCTTTTTGACCTTCTTCCCGGCAGGCGCGTCTTCGACGCCATCCTTCTTCCTGTTGAGCCAGCGGTTCATGGTGTCCTGGCCAGGATTAGTGAGGTGGTGAGAGGGTGGCAGAGAGGAGGGGTGATGTCTTACTGCTGACAGTGACTACACTAGGGTGTAGGCGATGTTTTGCAGGCTGACCAATAGCTGCTTGGCGGCAGGAGCGAGGAGCGAGGAAGTGAGAGTGAAAGCAGCAGGTGGCAGCATGTAGTGTGGGAAGTGGCGAGGGGCGAATTGGATGCTGGGCGCTGGCTGTGGGATAGTGGCCGTGAGGGTGTCTGTGTGTGTGTGTGTTTGTGGGTATGTGTGTGTGTGTGGAGAATAGGAGGACAGGCAGCGGCGGGCGGGTAGGCGGGCGTGCGAGTCTGGGGGAAGCAAGTATAAACAATAGATTAAGAAACGGGTTAAGGAGTGTGTGAGGCTGAGAAGCAGACGAAGGCAAAGGAGCGGATGCACAGGCGCGCAGCGAAGTGCGGCGTGGTGGAGGGAAAGGAATGCAGAAAGCAGATCTCCCGACCGAAAAGATGGCACAACAAGCGGGTCGGCGTGGGCATTGGACAGTTTTTGCTCTGGGGGAGTGATGGGCGCGTCGAGCGAGCACCAGGATTGATTTTGACTAGGCTCATTTCCGTGCCGTGCATGGGCGCTTGAGGCCGGGCGGTGGCAGGGAAAGCTGGAGCAACAGCACAGTGGGAGCAGCAGCAGTAGCAGCAGGAGCAGCAGCAGCAGGAGGAGCAGGGTGCAGGGAGCAGGGTGCAGGGAGCAGGGAGCAACGGGGCGCTGGGACCGGGCGTGGCTCCACGGGCTCGAGTGGCTCGTATGTGGTAAAGTAGGCCCAGTGCTGCATTACCGACTGTGGTTGGCGGCAGATGTGGTGGTGATGATGGTGGTGGTGGCGGCTGGCAGCAGGGGAGGCGCCGCCGCACCCACGAGTCGTCTCGTGACTTTGGCTGTCGGAAGACGAGGGCCCGCCTCCCCTAGAGCGACAGGACGAGTAGCAGCAACAGCAACAGTCGCAGCCAGGCCATGGTGTTGTGCGCCCGAAAGCGCCGCGTCCAATCAGCGCTCGCCGGTACCTTGCAGGCCCCCCGCCCCCTCCCTGCCTGCTCAAGTCTCCAGACGCTGCATGTTCCGCTCATGGTCGCGCAGTGCTTTTTTTTGTGTCGCTGCACTGTTCTTTTTTTTCCCTTTCCTTTTCACCAGCTAGCCATCTATCCAGCCAGCAAGGCCGCAGGATAAACGACGCGCCCAGCAGTTGTCCGGCCGGGCATAGTTTAGCTTGGCAGTGGCCGAAGCAGCAGCACCAGCAGTAGCACCAGCAGTGCCGGCACGCCCTTCGCGTACCTGAAGCCGCTAGACTCGGGATGCTAGTGCCAAGAGCAGCTAGTGCACAGTGAAGCGAACGAATCACCCGTGGCCCTGGTCCCGGTTACCTTTATCGTTTCCCCTGGCCTAACCGCCTACCGCCTGCCCTCTCTCCCTTTCCTGCACCCTCGTCCACGCCCACACATTGGCTGCACACGCTCCCATGTACACGTCCACACGTCCACACGCACACACACATGTAGTGTACATGCGCTTCGTTGTACATACTACATCTGTATCACCCCACCTCCGCCCACTCAGCTCCCTCGTCGCCTGTCCGACTCTCTGCTGCCGTCACATGCCCATCGCAGCCTTCAGCCACTCACCTCCATGGTGCTGACCTCCGAGGCCCGCGGCGCCCTATGTAGCCCCGTGCGCCTGCCATGACTGTCATGATATCTCGTCCATTCGGCCACCCGACCAAGACTTGTCAAAACCCTCATCGCTCTGCCTGACAAGTGACTGTCTGCCTGACTGTTGTCAAGAATAAGCCAGCCAAGACCCCCTATGCCCACACTGCTGCACTTGCTTAGTTGACTACTTACCTACATCGTTCTCCATCGCTTTGCTCGCTCTGATCTCGCTACGACCATGGCATTGACGGGTCCTTTTTTTCTATTGCCCTCACTCATCCAGTAGTTGCTGAACTAAGCACAGGCCCACGGCTTTGTTCTGTTCTGTTGTGTTCTGTCCTGTCCTGTCCTGTCCTCCTTTGCTCTGCTCTACTCTGCTCTGCTCTGCTCCCTTGCTGCCTCCTGCCTCCGCCTTCACCTCGCTCCCAAACCGCCGTCCAAGCCTCGTGCGCACGGATCGCCTTGCTCTATCCAATCTAGTGCCTCCCGTCATTCCTTCCTTCCTTTGTTCCTTTCTTCTTCCACAACACGATCACCCCGGCTGCCAGGGAAATTACCAGGCCCGGCGAGGCCATCGGATCGATTGTCTTGTTTCAACAACCAGCCTAGTCCTCCCCCACTCTCCTCCTCCTCCTCTCCCCTCTTCCGAAATTATCCATCGTCCACCACCGGCGCTACTCAAGCCTTGCAGACACCGCCAGCACCCATCCATTGCACCATACTTAGTCCTACTTATCGACCCACATACGCCCGCCCTGTCTTCCCACCCACAAGCCTTGGTCACCAACCGTCACCACGCCAAACGCTCCGTCATGGCTCCCCTCACAAAGTTTAACGTCCAGCCCGCCCCACCACAACACGATAAGCTTTCTCACTAGCCACACTCGACAACTGCCTGCAATCTGCCTGCACTCTGCTCTATTCGACCATTCACGCTCAACTCGTGCCTTTTCATTCAACTGACGACACGCTCGTTCCCTAACACTGCTGTCTACATACTGCTCGCTAAAGTCAGCTAGCAGGTAAACTTTACCCAGGCATACTACAAGGCACCAGTCAGGCATACCACCACCCTCCATTACCAAACAATTCCCCTCTAGTGTCGCCCTACGTCTTCATCCGTCGTGTTTCGCATCTCACCTCACCTCCGGCCCGCATATTGCCATCGAGCGGGGCACCGTTGAATGCGTGCCGCTGTTTTACAACCCTATCCACTAGTCAGCAGTCATGAAGAACTTTTTTTTTCTCCTGCAACGTTGTTGTCGGGTCCCACGTTTTCGCTCACCACCACCGTTGCCGACCGGCCACCGGCGACCGAGAAGAAATTGCAAAAGTAAGATTTTTTTTAACAACATCCGCTTACAGTATACTCTCGACCTCATCTAAGTGCAGAATCTCGGCCGATTCCAAATTGCCTTTGTTTTCCCCACAACTCCGGGAGATGAGCTCCAAATTTCGTCCCGACCACGTGAAACAACGTCTCCAAGGGTCCCATGATCCTTGACGACGATCATCCCCCTGGTCCAATCCATGTCGCCCGTTGCCTTTGAAAGTGCGGTTCTAAATTGTACCTGATATAATGTAATGAGACTACTTCGACCGTAGCCACTCAAGTACATGCTGTCAACATTGTACAAGATATCAATTTGATAGAGTACACGCCGCTAGCTCTTAGGCTCCGTGACGACATGCAAGAGAGCCTAACATCCCATCGCCCAACATGGCTCAGCTACTTCACTCTCCCGCGCCTGCTCTTCACACCCATGTGACGGTTTCATCTACTTTGCAATGACGTCTTCAACATCGGTTGCAACAGCCACATATGAATCAGTGAACCAACCCACTGCCTGGCCTGCCGCTTACTGTGTCCCTCCCGCCCGCCCCCATATTAAATCTACCCAATCACTCGGGTGAGGAACACGCAACACGCTTATATACCGTCGTCCCTACTTACATGGCTATCGATGTAAGTTACCTAATGTCAGATTACACACCAGATCGGCGCTCAACAAACCATATATCCCTTACTTTATCCCTTGCCACACTACTACTCGATACACCCCCGACCATGCCACCTGTGTGCATATAACATTTTTCGTTATACCTACACAAAGTACATACTTTCCACACCTACGCTTTGGCTTTCGGCCCGACTGTGTAACAAGTATATGCGCTTTCAATCAATTGCTTCGCTTGCTTATGTACATACTTGCTACCTTGGATACAACACATAGTCACTACTTACGTGTACTACAATCAAGGACAGTGTAGCTTAACCCGACACTAACTTTAAAAAAAAACACTTGTTTGTCTTGTCCATGTATTGGACAAACATCGAATCCACATGGTAACACCCTCGATTTGGTAGCTTGCCATTTTCAACGTCAAACGTAAATTCTTTTCTATTTTTAAAAAAAGGCGTAATAATACATAAATTGAGTCATTTCTCGTTTAATCAAAACAGGAAAATGAGGCAGTATTACTCTGTTGTCCATTTTTGCCATCAAGTGAGGAAGTGACAATAAGCTTTGATAGAGAGAAAGAGAGATGATAAAAAAAAAGGCAACGATAAGACCGCGCGCCTCCCATGCCTAAAATCGACACTTGGATCCAAATCAACGCCAATAACTAACGCCTCAAAGACATATATCCGTGCCCAATACGTCCTCTCAATACCTTCCCAAACCGAAGACAACAACACCCCGTGTCTCTCCCTCTTTTACATCCCATGAGCCCACGTGATTTCGTATATTCCCGGCCCAAAGAACCACAAAACCCAGGAGTGTGTGTGTGTGTGTGCATGTCGTCATCATCATCCATCCCATCCATCGTCCCCATCATTCCTTTACCCACTACGTATTCTTACAAGCCCCCAACACCACCACCACCTAATCCACCCCCACAATACTACCAACACTACTACCACCATTACATCTAACTGGCCAGGCACTCTACTCCTTTCCACCTCCCATACGCTCAATATTCGACATCAGCCGGCTTTTGCCTCCACTGCCGCTGCGGCTCAACCCAGGCGTGCTCTGGTATTTGAGCCCACCAGGTGCCCGTAGCCCAGATGGCTTGCCCACATTGCTGCTACTGCTGCTGCTCCCACTACGCTCATGCATGCCACCTACGCGATCGCCCATTCCGTTTCCAGGACGCCCGCCTCCAAGAGCAGACCCTGGTCGTGCTGGGCCACCAGCGAGGAACCCTGTGTTGCGCATAGCCTGTTGCTGTGGGGCCGCTTGCTGATAACTGCTAGCTGCCTGCTGAGGCGCTGCCTGAGCTTGTGGCTGAGGTGCAGCCCGTGACTCTGGCTTCATCTGCGACCGACGCAAGTCTTCTTGCTGCAGTTCTTCCATCTTTTCGCCGCACATGGACAACATCTGTTCAGCTGCCGCTACCAATTCACCCTTTTCGATCCGTTCCGCTTCCAGGTCTTCCACAAGAGTGTCGTGTGACTTGCGGAGCGACTTGAGCTCAGACTGCAGGCCTGCAAGTTTGGCCTTGAGGTTCTCAATCTCGGCTCTTTGCGCCTCCAACATCTGAGCATCTTCTGCATTCCGTGTAGGCCTCGACGGTGACGCCCCTTGGTTCTCATCGCTGTCCTGTTGACCAGAAGCAGTCTTGCTTAAAGTGTTACCGCGCTTCTTCTCCGCCTCTTCAACCTGTCGTTCAAGACCGACTATCTGTAGCTTGAGTTCTTTGCACCTTTCGTCGGCCTTTCTCTGGTAGTTGTCCTTGAGCGCCTTGATCTTCTTCTCATGCTTGGCCTTGTAAGCTGTATGGAGATCACGGGCAACTTCGTTGACCTTGTCGGCAATGGCGGCCTGGCATTCGAGTTCAGAATATATCTTCTTGTCGCCTGTCTCATCATTGCTGATAAACGTAGTCATGTCGACGTTTTTGCTTTCAGCCTCAATGACTTTGGTCTCCAATTCAGCCGATCGGCTTTCAGCTTCTTCAGCACGCTTCTCAGCTTCGGCCAATCTGGCAAACAGCTCTTCGCGTTCGGCATCGTTGCGAGCCATCTCAGATTGGACGTCCTGTAATAGCCTCTGAACCTCCTCGCCTTTTGATTTCCAGTCCACCATCTGTATCTCCGCATACTCGCGGGCAGAACGCTCCTCGCGTACAGTTTCCTGAGCTTCTCCCAC